ACTGGCTCCTCTCGATGTGGAGGAGCAGCGGCTCTACTCTGAGTCCCTCCTGGATGACCGAGCTTCTCACCCTATCTCTAAGGGAGAGCCCAGACACCAGGAAACTCATTTCGGCTGTGTGTATCCACAATCTCGTTCTTTTGGTCACTACCCAAAGCTTGTGACCATAAATGAGTGTAGAAACATAGACTGACTGGTAAATCGAGAGCTTCGCCTTCTGGCTCAGCCCTCTCTTCACCAGACCGGTACAGCGCTTGCATCACTGCAGATGCAGCACCAATCTGCCTGTAGATCTCCTACTCCATTATTCCCTCATTTGTGAACAAGACCCCGAGATACTTCAACTCCTGCACTTGGGGCAGAACCTCCTCCCTGACCTGGAGACGGCACGCTACCGTTTTCCGGCTCTAGACCATGGTCTTGGTTTTGGAGGCACTGATCCTCATCTCGGCTACCATGACCTGATGAAGCCAACAGGACCACATCATCCACAAAAAGCAGAGATGTGATCCTAAGGTTTCCAAAAAGGATCCCCTCAACACCTCGGCTGCACCTAGAAATTCTGTCCATAAAAGTTATGAACAGAATCGGTGACAAAGGGCAGCCTTGGCGGAGTCCAACTCTCACTGGAAACGATTCTGACTTACAACCAGCAATGCGGACCAAGCTCTGGAATCGGTTGTACAGGGACCCAACAGCCCTTATCAACGGGCCTGGTACYCCATACTCCCGGAGAACCCCCCACAAGAGTCCCCGAGGGACACAGTCGAACGCCTTCTCCAAATCCACAAAACACATGTAAACTGGTTGAGCGAACTCCCATGCACCCTCCAGGACCCTGCTGAGGGTGTTGAGCTGGTCTGCTGTTCCACAACAGGATGAAAACCACACTGGTCTTCCTGAATCTGAGATTCGACTATCCCATGTACCCACCTCTCCAGGGGCCTCATGTATCAACGGTGCGTATGCACAAAAACCTTGCGTACCTCATTTTCCATGCAAAACTCCGGATGTATCAAAACTCAACTGAACGTGAAAATGTGCGCAGCCCCACGCCAACTCCAGAGTTGGCGTACGCACGTTTCTGTGGCTTTGGCTCCATTGGCGACACTTAGAGGTGATTCTGAGAAACTGTTCATGATGTGAAAATGATTATTGTTCACACCTGACAGACATGACTAACAATTATTACATCCACATGATTAACAATTATTACATCCACATGGACGCAGTTAAATAAAGGACGCGCAAAGTTGTGCCAAAAATACATTTAACAGGAACGGATTCAGCCTTACTGGAGGATATAATAAATAGTGTAACACACAGAACATTTATTTATAAACAGATAGAATTTTCTGATGACGAGTGGCTCATCAGCCGCTTTGAGGAAAAATCATTTTTTAGTTTGGCACTGCTGCGCTCTGGGAGCGCGATGCAGCGAGTAGCTGCGTGCGCCACGCGTGCACATGCAGCAGCAACGATTGAACTGGGGTTCCACAGGAGCTGAGGGAGCTGGCAGACTCATCGGGACCGTGTCAGTCCAGTCCACCCAAAGCAGTCTTGACCAATGGAATCGTCTCATCCATTTGATTCTAAAGGCTGAGTTATGGCCACACTCTGGAGCGCGCACCCTCACCGGCAGTGGAGGTGTTTCATACTTAGCGTTTACGTTGTTGTAGATTTCTCCAACATGACACAAGGAAGTACACTTTACAACTTGTGAAAATGCTGTAAGTAGGAGAGCAAAAGCTTGACAGACAAACAGACTGCGCACAAAGGTTGCGGTGCGTGCATGTGGGGACTCTCCAACAAAACGTCATGTGAACTCTCTATTAGCTGAGATGCAGAGACTCGTTTCTTCATATCAGCTATGAAATAAACTAAGATCTATGTTCTACCAAACATTTAAGTTCCTCTGTGTTTACAGTAATTATGATAATAAACTCGTGCGCAAAGTTAATATTTTCAGACTCAGAATGGATGGATAAGCCGGTTGCGGAACACAGCAGCGTGCGCACACACACACACACACACACACTGACACACAATCGCTCGTTCTTTGTGTGATAAACATATTTTAGTCCTATTTTTACTAAGGATTTTTTTCACACTCACATTATATTAAATTTATTACTTTTACGACTCTAGAAATCATTTCTGATCGTGCAGGGATCACTCAAACGTGTCCTTCACACATGCAGGAAGTAATTTGCATCTGTTTAACATATGTTAATGAAGGCGTGTCAGGAGAGGTGTCTCACCTGCGCTCAGTTCCACGTTAATTGTGATGTAAAAAAGCAATGTGCGTGGATTCAGGCGTACGCACAGTTTGATACATCTGGATTTTTTTGTGCGCATGCCGTTTTCTGGATTTGACCGTACGTCAGGTTTCAGTAAGAAATCCAGGCAAGTTTTTGTACATGAGGCCCCAGGACCCCTGAATAGACCTTACCAGGGAGGCTCAAAAGTGTGATCCCCCTATAAATGTAACACACTCTGCATTCCCCCTTTTTGAATAGGGGGACCACCACCCCGGTCTGCCAATCCAGAAGAAATGCCCCCAATGTCCACGCGATGTTGTAGAGTCACATCAACCAATGCAATCCCACAGCATCCAGAGCCTTAAAGACCGTGTAAAGTAAATTTAAATATTTTCCTCTTTAAACAACTGGAGGGCTTCTAGAGTCATACTAAGGTGAGATAAGTCTCTGACAACTAGCCATTTAGTTGCAATAAAGACAGCAACTTGGAGGAACCATAAATGTAAAATGTCAGTATTTGGAGTGCCATTATATTGAAATGCTAAATCATAAGTTGCTCAAAATTGTTGAGGAACATTTGGATGTCTTCTGGAGTCAGCCTGAAGTGAGAGAAGTATCTGACTACTAACTGTTTAGTTGCAATAGGAAGAGCAACTTTTGGTCAGAAAAAGTAACAATGTAAGTATTGGGAGTGCTTTTTTTAAAATGCTACATAAGAAGTTGCTCAAAATTGTTGAGGAACAGTCATCCTGAATTGAGATCAGTCTCTGACAACTGGCCATTTAGTTGCAATAGAAACAGCAACTTAGGGGCAGAGAAAGTTATAATGTAAGTATTGGGAATGTTGTTATTTTGATATGCAACATCAGAAGTTGCTCAAAATTGTTGAGGAAAATCTGGAGGACTTCGAGAGTCAGCCTGAATTGGGACCAGTCTCTGACAACTAGCCGTTAAGTTGCAATAAAGACAGCAACTTAGGTCTTGAGAAAGTTATATAGTGAGTATTGGTAGTGTTCTTATTTTGAAATGCTAAATCAGAAGTTGCTCATGATTGTTCAGGAACATCTAGAGGACTTCTAGAGTCAGCCTGAAGTGAGACCAGTCTCTGACAACTAACCATTTAGTTGCAATAAAGACAGCAAATTGGGGGAACCATAATTTTTAAATGTCAGTATTGGGAGTGCCATTATTTTGAAATGCTACATCAGAAACTTGCTCAAAATTGTTGAGGAACATCTGGAGGACTTTTATAATCATCCTGAATTGAGAGAAGTTTCTGACAACTAGCCATTTAGTTGCAATAAAGACAGCAACTTAGGGGCAAAGAAAGTCATAATGTAAGTATTGGGAGTGCTTTTATTTTGATTTTAATTTAGTGTTCCCAATTTTGTGAGAAATTAGTGATTACACCCAGAACAAAATCTAAAGACACATTTGATTAATGTTTCTTCATGTTTCAATGAGACAAACTGATTTTATTGACAAAATTATTACAATTGAACAACACAAATCTTAAAGAGAAGAAATAAGTACATCTTTTTCTTTTTTGAAAAACAGATTAAAGATCAGTGCAAAATTCCACAAAACGTGAGAAGAAATGTTTAACTTAGTATTGCAATTTAATAAAAACAATGCTTAAAAAAGTTGTACATAAACACAGACTCAGACCTCCTGCTTGCACTTCAACATAAAATATTGTTGAAGCTCATTTGCTTCAAACTTGAACGTGTGCGTCTTCAAAAAACAGGACCAACGTTTTTAAAGGCTTTTTTCTTCTGCTTGCAGCTGACAAAGACAAGCCGACACAAAGCGTACGCAGGCATGGCCAAGCTGGGGATTCCTGCCAACAGAAAAATAACCACACTGATCCACGACGGGTACGGTACCGACGCCAGAACAGGGAACTCCTCCTGAAAGTCAAACAGCAGCAAGAGCAAAGTTGAAACATGAAACAAAATGGTTAAAACTACTGCAGTAGCAGTTTTCTACGTAATCGTGAGCTTACCGAATCAGGGTCCCAGACTAAATACGTGAGTTCTTGTTGGGCTTGAGTCACCAGGTAGAAAACTAGAATAACCAGGATGATTAGAGGGCTGATGAACCGCCATGAAACCTGCCAGAAGATGGACGGTTTATGCCCGATCATGAACTGTAGGTCGTTGTTGAACCTGCCGTAGAAAAGGGAATTCACTGAATTAGAGCTTACATTTATATTAGGGATCAATGTCAGTCAGCTGGTGATCAGATTCAGCCTATTTTCAGCTTTATTAGCAGATTCATCACATAAATCAGCTTTTTGTAACGTCTTTGAGCTACAAGAGATGATAGGAGGCTACAAAGACAAACTTTTTTTAACAAAGGCAGCTGTTTTAACACTTTAATAAGTTTCATTTAAGTGCAACACAATAAATAATAATAATAATAATAATAATAATACAGAGGCAAATTATTAACCCAGCTAAAGGGAGCAGCTGTAAATTTGCCATGGTACATATAATTAAATGAATGATTTATTCATCTAACCCATATTTTTCTGTCTAGGCCCCCCCTCATAAACCTCATGCTGATTTAAAATTAATTTATTGCCATTTTAAACTCTAATTGTCATGGCAATAAAAATTATATTTTGTTTAGTTTAATATGTTTATTTTACTTGTACGTTGTTCTATGTGCCTTGCTAAAAATAAAAACAAAATTAGCAACTTGTACTTTGGGACCCAAAGCCACAGCTCGCGGACCTCTGCGGGTCCTGGGACCCTAGTTTGAGAATCTTTTATCTAACCTATCCTAAGGTTAATCAGATTAGTTAACATTATACTGAACACAACCTTAATTAAAATTGGAGATCTTGTAATATATATATA